GTGAACACCCCCATCCTGAAGTTCAGCACCCGCCACCAAGTTCGTAGAGAACGAGGGGAGGTGAAGACCAGACAGCGAGCCGGACGGAGCAGCAGGACACGGGAGGACAGTGGAGGAACGGGCCACAACTGGTCCCCCAGAGGGGTCAGCCAGAGAGACTGCCACCGGCCGACTGAGCGGCGAGAGTGTGGTGCAGTCGCGAAAGAAGGAACGGGAAGCACCCGAGTCAAGGGTGAAAGTGTGCAAGACCTGAGTCGACGCGGTACCTGAGAGAGCAGCCTCACCAGCACCCGGAGCAGCAGACTCACTAGCACCTAGAGCAGCAGCCTCAATGCCCGGGTCGGGCGGAACACACAGGTAACAGTCACCCTCATCACTAATAGACACAGTATACATAGCAGCAAGGATAGCATCATAATCAATATCAAAGATAGCAACCCCCGACTTAAGCAGAATATCCCAGCGAGGGATCTCCGAGGAGCTAGGGAACTGAGTGCGCCAGGCGTCAGTCAGGCGGCCGAAGCAGCGTGGTGTGGTGTGCGGGCCTCCGCACGTCTCTCCACTGCGGTCGCCGGTGCGAAGAACGTAGGTGCAGGGACCAGCACCCCCAGACCTCCCACGCCCAGCGTACCACTCACGAAGCTGCTGAGGCGACGGGGTCTCACGGGAGCGCTGCTGCTGCTGGCGCTGGCCACCGCTAGAGCCTCCCCGCTGCCCACCACCACCCCCGCCACTCCCACCTCCTCCGCCGCCGCCGCCACCTCCACCCCCACTCCCGCTGCCTCCGCCGCCTCCACCTCCACCGCCTCCACCGAAGCCCCCAGTCCCGCCACCACTCCCACCTCCACCCCCACCCCCTCCTCCTCCTCCACCGCCACTACCGCCGCCCCCGCCGCCCCCTCCACCCCCCTTGCCCCACTTGCCCTTGCTGTTGCGGCGCCTGCCACTAGGAGCAGACGCAGTGCCGACCGACTCGGTGCCAACGAGGTCGACAGCAGCAGCAGAGGCAACAGAGGGCAAAAGAGGGACGGGGGAGCACCCCTCAAAGACAGGGGCACGGGGGTCACCACGAGAGGCTCCTACAGCGACTATACTCTTCTCAGCTGCAAGGAGGTGCTCCTCGAGGAGGTCAACGGTGAGCGTGGTGGGGCAAAGAGAGAGGAAGTGGTCCCTGACCGAGCAAAGGGAGTCAGGGAGCCGGGTAACGAGGTAGTAGAGAGTGATGTACATAGGGGGGGGGTTCTTGGCGCAGAACTCGGTAGGAAGCGCAGCGCGGTAGCGGGTGTCACTAGTGCGAAGGTGTGTAATGAGGTCAGCGACTGTGGCAAAAGCGGCTAGGTCAGGGAACAGGTACGGCAGCATGAGGCGGCTAAGGGCAGCAGTGGCAGGGGAGGAGTAGCGCGCAACAACAGCAGTGTACAGAGTGCTAGCAGTCTTGTACTGGCTAAAGTGTGCGCGCTCAGCAGAATGCAGGTGACTACGGACAGCAAGACGGGCAGCAGCATCGCGCGTGATCCACACTGTGAGCGAACAGTACTGGCAGCATCAGCAGCAGGTGCAGCAGAGGCGCCAGAGGTGAGATCAAACAGTGAGATACCGTCCTTGCTATCGCACTGCAGGAAAAGCTGCAGATCATCGATCCAGACCTCAAAGTCGACAGCTCGACCCTCAGCATCGAAGGTAAGCACATTGGGACTAGCCATGACAGCAGCAGCAGCAGGCTAGCAGCAGTAGCGGCAGCGCGACTCGGCTAAAGGGCGCGGCTCGGCAGGGCGGCGCGGCTCGGCGGTGCGCTTACCAGGGGCGGGTGGGTAGGGTGGCCGCGACAGGAGGGGAAGGCGCGCCGGCAGGGTCGGGGCCGCAACTAGGCGGCAGGGCAGGGCCGCGGCTCGGCTGCAGGGCAGGGCCGGGGCAGTAGTGACGGCAGCGGCGGCGGCGGCTCGCAACACCGGCGGAGGCAGGCTCGGCGGCGGCGGCAGGGACAGCAGCTGCTGCAGGGCTCCTCGGCGGCTGCTGCAGGTGGAGGCCGCAACCGGCGAGAGGGGCAGGGCGGGGCCGCAGCGGCGGGTCGACGCGGGGAGCCGGCGACGGCAGATGCTGCAGGGGCGGCAAAGAGCCGCGAAGGGCCGCGAAGGGGGGGCCGCGAAGGCCGCGAAGGGGCCGCGAAGAGCCGTGAGGGGGCCGCGAAGGGCCACGAAGGGGCCGCGAAGGGCGGCGAGGGGGCCGCGAAGGGCCGCGAGAGGGGCCGCGAACGACCGCGAAGGGGCCGCGAAGGGCCGCGAGAGAGGCCGCAAAGGGCCGCGAAGGGGCCGCGAAGGGCCGTAAGAGGGGCCGCGAAGTGCGCAAAAAGGCCAGCGCTAAGCGCGCTTCGGGCAGGTAAGGAAGAAAAAACTCGTAGTGGTGGGCCCTTAGGAAAAAAAAAACGGTCCCACTAGGGAACCCGCTCTATACCATGTGAGAATAATACGAGGAATGAAATGACTAGAAATGAGTTGGGTACAAATAGGGAAACCTAGAAATGTAGTACCCCCTATTGTCTAACCCACTACAGCCTAAACAGGCTATAACATAAGTTTGACATCTATATCCGCTCTTTTTTACCCGCTGCTGCAAACGTTCAGTGTGGGCGAGGCAAACTACTAGACACGAGCGCGTTAACGCTTTTATGCCAGCTGCTGCAAGTGTGGGCGAGGCAAACTACTAGACACGTACGAGCCCGTTAACGCCTTTATACCACCTGCTGCAAAAGTTGAGTGTGGGCGAGGCAAACTACTAGACACGAGCCCGTTAGACTTTTATACCAGCTACTGCAAATGTTGAGTGTGGGCGAGGCAAACTATCAGACAGGAGCGCGATCGCGCTTTTATACCAGCTACTTCTGAGTGCTAGCGAGGCAAACTACTAGGGACGAGCGCATTAGCGCTTTTATATCCGCTCTCTTATACCCGCTGCTACAAACGTTCAGTGTGGGCGAGGCAAACTACTAGACACGAGCGCGTTCACGCTTTTATGCCAGCTGCTGCAAGTATGGGCGAGGCAAACTACTAGATACGTACGAGCCCGTTAACGCCTTTATACCATCTGCTGCAAAAGTTGAGTGTGGGCGAGGCAAACTACTTGACATGAGCACATTAGCCCTTTTGTACCAGCTGCTGCAAATGTTTAGTGTGGGCGAGGCAAACTACTAGACAGGAGTGCGGCCACGCTTTTGTACTAGCTACTCCGAATGTTGAGTGTCGGTACGAGCGCGACCACGCTTTTATACCAGCTGCTCTAAACGTTGAGTGGCGCGATGGAAACTACTAGACACGAGTGCGTTAGTGCTTTTATACCCCCTGCTGCAAATGTTGGCCCTGTTCGCCAGCACATTTGACAATCGAGGGCATCGGGATGGACGTGGAATGAGGAACCGGGGGCGGAACTCGCCGAATAGGTTTGGGCGTGCTGGGTGGTGCACGAAATTTCCCGCCAGAAAGGGGAGGGGTGGCAACGGAATCTAGAACCACCCTCCCCACCTTCCAATCGCATTTCATGATTTTTTAGAGCTAACTGGCGAATGTCTGACTGGTGGGATGAAAGAAAAATCGTAGGGTAAAAACCGTTCATGAAAAAAAAAAAAAAAAAAAACAGGCCTGCTCAAGTTCAACCTATCTGTAGCCAATCCACCAAGTCCCATTTCACCATTTCACAGACTGCTGCAACTTGCTCCATCAATTTGGAGTTACGATACATGGACCCCGCCTATGATTCCGACCCACTAGTAGGTACTAATAGAGTCTTCAAACGGAAACGGAAAGAATCAACTAAGTGGATAACGCTTTTAATTGGTGATCTCATAACCAGTTTGTGGGGCATCACTATGCTGCAGCGCGTTTCCCGTTGTGTAACCATCTACACCAAGGCCGACAAACACGATCTGTCAAGAGGTGGTCCGGCGTATGCCAATCACCTACTTCATGGGGCTCGTGCGCATGGTGGTATGCGCTTGGAACCCTACCTGGTCCCCGCCTACTAAACATCGTGGGCCGCGGCCTCCTCACCGCTGGGCACAGCCAGACACCTGAGGAACATCCGCTAACCTCCTACAGTTTATAGGGCAGTCTGCATCGAATATGGTGATGCAGGAGACTTGGCAGCGGAGCGGTAGCACGATCAGTCATACCATTCAGAACGCGGCGAGGGCAGTTTGCTCGTTGTACGACGAGTACATACAATTCCCAACGAGCAGTGATGAGTTATATCTGTCTACCAACCCACGGTACATGCACTTCTCAGGCACCATAGGCGCCATAGGTGGGACCCTTATCCCTGCATGCATTAGAGACAGCGAGCGACAGTCCTTCTTAGACCGGCATAAAAACGTATCACATAACGTGCGTGCCGCTAAATCTTTCACGGGCGAATTCATCTACATCATGGTAGGCTGGGAGGGATCGACGCACGATTCCACGCTATTCCAGGACGCCCTAAACCGGGGGTTGCAGCTCCCGCCAGGAACCTTTCTTCTCGCCGACTCAGGGTTCCGAAATGACCTTCACTTCTTAGCTCCTTATAGGACTCACATATACCATCAACGTCGATGGCAGGAGCCGGGCTTCCAACCGCAGAACAAAGAGAAAATGTTCAACAAGACTCACTCGTCCCTGCTTTCGCACGTAGAGCGTGCGTTTGGCCAGCTCAAAGCCCGTTTCCCATTCTCAAACATATGCGACCCTACAGTTTCGCATTGCAGTGTACATTACTACAGGCGTGCTGCATTATTCACAACTACATTAAGCAACAGGGTGGCGCTGACTTCCTGGATGATGTGGACCTACAAGCGGGAATTCAGGAGAGGGAGAGCCGCCAGCAGAATGCACCCGTCCCGCAGCCGGTCACAAGCCCTCGGGCTTCATCAAGAATAGGCCAGCAGCGAAATGATGGCATAGCCGAAAGATTATGGGCTGATTTTGGGCGTGCATGCCTGTAAGGCAGAGAATGTTTACGACTATGCTAAAAGATCATTGCACAGGAGGGGAGAGCATGGGATGGCCGAGCACAGGAGGGGAGAGCACGGGAGGGGAGAGCAGGGGAGGGGAGAGCAGGGGAGGGGAGAGCACGGTAGGGGAGAGCACGAGAGGGGAGAGCAGAGCAGAGGAGAGCACGGGAGGGGAGAGCACGAGAGGGGAGAGCAGGTGAGGAGAGAGCACGGGAGGGGAGAGCAGGGGAGGGGAGAGCACGGGAGGTGTTCTCATGACTCACCCGTGTGGCGCATTGTGATGCCTCGCTCGGTCACCGCTGTAAGTACCTCCAACTGATGTGCGACCTGGTTGCCATCAGTGCGTTTATGTCGCTTGTTCCAACTCAATGGCGAGGCGGGGCCATGCTCGCTGTTACCTGCGGTGCCCTGGCTTCTTGGGGCGGGTGTGCCCGCCGATGTACTTGCGGGGCTCCGCGGGTCCGCCCGCTGGCTATTACCGCCCTCACCACCCACAGCCCCTCGTCCTCCATGCCCATCAGCTCCCTCCCCACGTCCTCCCTACCCACGTCCACCCTCCCCACGTGCCCCCTCCCCACGCCCGCCCTCCCCACGTGCCCCCTCCCCAAGTGCGCCAGGCCCACGTCCGCCCTCCCCACGTCCCCGGCCTCCACGTCCCCGGCCCCGGCCCCTCCGTCCGCCCCCCCCCCACGTCCGCCCCCCCCCCCCCCCCTCGTCTCCCCCCTCCACGTCCCCCCCTCCCACGTCCGCCCTCCTCACGCTCCCCCACGCCCCCCCTCCCTCCCCCCCCCCCCAACACTCTGATCGGCACGCTCGCCATCTCCAAGTCCCCCACCCCCACGTCCGCCCTCCCCACCTGCACTCTCGCCATCTCCGGGTCCCCCACCCCCAAGTCCGCCCTCCCCACCTCCGTCCTCCACTCGCTCTCCATGTCCAAGTCCCCCCACCCCCTGTCCGCTCCCCACTTGTCCTACCCCTCCACGTCCGCCCTCCACTAGCCCTCCATCTCCAAGAACCCCCCCTCCAGATCCCCCACCTCCACGTCTGCCCTCCCCACTTCTTCCCGCCCTGGTACCCCTACCATCCCCACGCCCTAATTCCCCACCCTCACCTCCTCCCCCCCTCCCCCCCTCCCCCCCCCCCCAACACTGTTTAAATCATGGCCCCCACTGTGCTGCCCCTCAGCCCTTGTTCCCTCTATGGTTGGATGATGTGGTGTCGTACTGACTTCACCGACATCCCCCTCGCATTCTGGGTCATTCACGAACGTAAGGGGGCCCGTATGGCATGCACTGGCGAACCGACCACGCCTGCCACTCCTGTGCACGATCTGGGCAGCAAGGGAGAGCCAAGGTGCGGTTTTGGAAGCCCATTTAGAGTATCGGGGTCAGATGCCGAACCGTTCAAGTTTCTCAACGACTCTATTCGGTTGGAATAGAGGAGGGGAAGTATAAAGAAAGGAGGGTGTAGTATTGATGATGGGGAGTAGAGGTACAGCGAAGGGCCACGGAGGGCCCACTAACTCCGAGCGCAACACGTATATAACGGGCTGGTCTTCGAGCCAAAACGGTCGTTGCAAACCCTAAAGACCTACTTCGGCGGGTGGGTTGAAGAAGCCATTTTCAGGGTCCCAGCTGACTCTTGTATGTACTAGACTCTGGAGGTACCTAATGTCCTTCACCCATCCCTTAAAGTAGCGGTGCACATTCCTGGGGTTGGTTTTTGGGGGCATTGGTTATGCACACCCTTTAGGGTGGTTTGATCGGTTGGCGAACGGTCCAACCTGCTGAAACACTGGAGCGAGGGTTGGAGAATCTGCTGTCGAATTCTGACCAATTCGAACAAATTCGTCACGGGGTTGTGTTGGGGGAAGAGGCGACGGAAGGGCAGGAGTTTCAGCGCGGGGCGGAAAAGCAACCTTAGAGGCAAGTGAGGACGCGTTACCTCTCTGAACAATTTGGCGAAAGATCCTGAGTTGGTTCGGTGTTTGGACTGTACAGTGTTTTGGCGACGTCTTTCGAACGATTTCGCACGATCTCGCACGTCTACAGTCAACACCGTCAGCGCGAGGTGACGCGTCCTGATCCATCCCTCATCCAGCAATTTTACATAGAGGTGACGCGTCCTGATAATCTATGTTTCCTTTGCGCATGGCGGAACACCCCGCCACTCTCCGGAGGGGTTGGGGCATACCTATTTGTCACCTCCCATGCCCAACCACAAACCCGGTATCATCAAGAGGAAAGTGATAAACCACTACCTCCACCCCCCCCAAAGTGCACTCTTGATTTAACCACCTTGATGTGGTTGTACAATTGGTCACGATTGAACATGTGCGGCCCGTGCATTTCCACCATTTCTGATGCATTTCTGTCCATTTCGCGATAATGGCATGCGGGGCCCAGCCATTCTCTAACTGTGTTTCAATTACTATGTTTAGAAGGTCCTCGGTAAGACTATCGTTCCATGCATGACGCCCTGTCTGCACGGTTTCGCTTTCAACTTATGTGCAACTGTCCTCAAGTTCCGAAACAGAAGGGAGAGGAAAGTCCGTGACGGTTGGCGCCACTGCAGCTCCTGGAACACATGCGCTGGAGTGGCGCTGTGAGGATCGATAGGATCGAGTTCATAAATGAGGAAATGTATTGAATGATCACCTGGGTACAACACGAGGCTATATATAGTCTCGACACAAGGCCAGTAACCTAGGTGTTACGTGAAGGTTCCGAGGGTCACGAAGCATCCCGAATGGAGCCTTCTTGAATTCGGTAGAAGCTTTTCGGGGGAAATCGAATAGCACGAATTCGGTGCACGCAATCCTTGTTCGGTGCTATAACTATAATAAAATATAGGAAAGCACCTAACTTAGGAAATCAAACAAAAGCATGCATGATAAAATAAACCTAAGCTAGATGAAGCATAATAATGTAAAGGAAAGCAAGCAAAACAAGCATAAGCCGTCGTACTCTCACACGTCCCCCCCTCAAAGCTGGGTGGCGTGAGAAACACCCTGCTTGACAAGATAAATCTTGAGAGCACGGCGTGCGTTGCCCATATCAGCTTCAGCAACCCAACTGTCCTCCGACGGGTTGTATCCCTTCCAGCGTATCATGAACTCGAGGGTCGTGCCACCGCGGCGCCGATGAGTAAGAACGCGTTCCACCTCGTACTCTGGTTCATCCTGTACGAGAACAGGTGGTGGTGGCGGTAGCTGCCGTCCCTGGAACTGTAGGTTGATGTCTTTGTAGGGCTTCAGTAGCTGAACATGGAAAGCATTGTGAAGCTTCCATGTGGTAGGTAAGCGCAAGCGAAACGTTACTGGTGTCACATTCTCCTCAACACGAAAAGGACCACAGAAGCGAGGTCGGAGCTTGGACGGTAGATGAGACAAGTCCAAGTTGCTTGTGTCAAGAAGAACCAGATCTCCGACTACTACTGGGTGATCTCGTCGCTGTCGATCTGCATACTGCTTCTGGGAGTTCTGCATCGTGGTGAGACGTCGTTGAGTCTTCTCCCATAGCTGCTGCATGGTGTTGACGAAGTCATGTGCGGCTTGGACGTGTACCGGTGTGTTTGGCTGCTGTGGTGTAAGTGGTTCCCGTCCGTAGCATAGGAAGAAAGGAGATTTCCCTATGGCCGCATTTGACACGTTGTTGTAAGCGAACTCAAGCGTCGGTAACTGTAGATGCTAGTGGCTGATGTCGTCCATGCAAGCTGTGCGTAGTAACTGTTCAACCACCTGATTGGGTCGCTCAGTCTGTCCGTCAGTCTAAGGGTTTTAGGCTGAAGACATTGCAAGCTTTGTCCCCAATAAACCCATGAGTTCCCTCCAGAACTTACTAGTGAATTTTGGGTCTCTGTCCGAGATCAGTATAGCGGGAATGCCGTGGATGGTGATGATGCGGTCGAAGAAGAGGCGAGCAATTGCTTCAGCTGTAGCCGTGTCGTTGGTCGGGATGAAATGTCCCATTTCAGAGAACTTATCGATCACCACGAGTATAGCGTCATGCCATCGTGAGGTCGAAGGAAGCCCGGTGATAAAATCGTAGCTAACGACTTGCCATGGCTGCTCCTGTACGGGTAGAAGCTGAAGTAACCCTGGTTTTTTCTGCTTGCTACTCTTCATCCGCTGGCACGTGTCGCATGAGGTGATGAACTGCTGCATGTCTGCTGCCATCTGGGGCCAGTAGTAATACTTCGCTATTCCTGCTAACGTCTTGTTACTCCCGAAATGTCCCGCGTATGCCACGTCGTGAAACTCTTCCAGTAAGAGCTGTCGGAGTGGGGCATAGTTCGGTACCCAAATATTTCCTGAACCCTTCTTTACAGCTAAGTCTTTCTCCCACTGTAACAGCTTCTGTTTCTGTGATGTAGTGATCTCTGCGTCCACAGAGTACCCATGTTGGAATAGACCCTTGAGCAGAGGGTTCATCCCGTCGAGCTGGATGCCTGCTACGTGCCCTGGGCGGCTTAGTGCGTCGGCCTTGTTGTGCAGCCCTGGCTTGTAGATGATGTCGTAGTGGAAGTGTGTTTCCAGGAAGTCCATCCACCGCAGCTGTCATTGTGAGAGCGTAGGCTGGGACTTAAGGTACTTGAGACTGCAGTGGTCAGTATAGACTGTAGTCTTGGCTCCCTCTAGGTAACACCTCCACGCCTTGAAGGCTGTGACTATCGCTAAGGCTTCCTTATCATGGATTGGGTAATTCGGTTCTGCTCTGTGTAGCTTCTTACTGAGGTAGGCGATGGGCTGCAAACCGCGTCCGTGATTCTGCATCAGTACTGCTCCGACTGCCTGGTCACTAGCGTCTGCTTCCACCACGTAATCTCTGTCTGGATCCGGTAGGATGAGTGTTAAAATAGGCTCCTAACTCTTAACATAGCAACCTAGGGTGTAGCTAGGAATCTTGGATGTCGAGAGGAGCTAGGCAAGAGGAATGGCCAAAGAGGTTTGAATAAAGGGCCAAAGGCCCAAGTTATACAAGAAACAAGGCAAGAAGTGGTGCACCACAAACAAGATTATGTATCTATACCACACCTACAAACAACTATATAAATATGTAGAACATATTTTGACAATGAGTACTGGGGCAGTAGTCAGTGCTGTCTGTAGTTGCTCCATGGCTTGCTGATGAGGAGTATCCCATTTATAGGGTGTATCCTTTTTCAGTAAGTTTGTCAGTGGTGCTGCTATCTTCGCGTACTGTGGCACGAACCTGTTGTAGTAGTTGGAGAAACCTAGGAACTGCTGCAACTCCTTCACGTTCTCAGGAACTTTCCACTTCTTGACGGCTTCGCTCTTCGACAGCTTCACGTAGAAGTTGTTCTCCCGCAGGATCTCGAAGACTTTCCGCAGATGCTCCACGTGCTCCTTCATGTTCTTGGAGTAGATGAGAATGTCGTCCAGGTACACTACTACGCACTCGTCCAGCAGGGGCCATATGATGTGATTCATCTCCGCCTGGAATGTCGCTGGTGCGTTGCAGTGTCCGAACGGCATCACTAAGTATTCGTAGGAGCCGTATCTGGTACGGAACGCCGTCTTGTGGATCGAGTTGTCTGCCATCTTGGACTGCCAGTAACCCGACCGTAGGTCCAGCTTCGGAAACACCGTTGCACCACGCAGTTGGTCTAGAAGATCGTCTATGCGCGGTATGGGGTATTTTTTTCTTGATTGTCTGTTTGTTCAATGCCCAGTAGTCGATGCACATCCGTAAACTGCCGTCCGGCTTTGGAGTGAAGAGAACCGGTGCACCGTAGGGAGAGGTGGAAGGGCGGATCAGTTGTCTGTCCAGTAGGCGGTATGGTGCACGTGAGACGGGTTTCGCACCTGGTTCCTCCACGATCTCGTGCTCGTGGGTTCGGGCTGGAGGTACTCCTGCAGGCAGGTCATCCGGCATAATATCCATGTACTCCGTTAACACCTCATGTACTGCTGCAGGTAGCTCCGAGTTCGGCTTCTCCTCCTCTGCTGCTGCCATCACCAGTGCTAAGTAACCCGTGTTACTCTCGTTCACCGTCCGTTCGAACCGTGCAAGCATTGTTTCAGGAACGTCGCCTGTATGTGTCCAGCTTCGTAGCTCCACACGTTTCCCGTTGTTGTAGATGCACGCCTTCCCGTTGACCCAATCGATCTCGGGGTTGAACCGCTTCAAACAATTCTTGCCCGAAGATGAAATCTAACCCTTTGATGTTCGTGATCGGCAACGTCGGCTTCCACCTCAACGCACCTATGTGCAACTGCAATGATGCTTCGCCGTGGATAGGAAGCTTCGTACCGTCCACCATCGTTGCTGTGAACTGGGTCTCCTCCGATGACTCTCCAATTTTCTCCAACGTCCCGCGGTCGCACACCGAATGGGACGCACCACTGTCC